TTAAGAAATTGGATGAACAAGGTATGAGATGCACACCTTAAGAGTTCCAATGAAACACAAGTAGAAGCTCAATCAATTCTTTTGAGCAGCTTTTGTGGAGAAGTGGATAGACTTCACCCCCCTACAACACTATATTCAGAGAGAAATTCAACAAAATTGTTCAAACGGCATTAAAATTGGAAAAATGAATAAAATACAAAATCAAAATATGAGATGCACGCCTTTAGTGTCCCTATAAAGCACATGTGTAATCTAAAAGAATTCCATAAAGTGGTTTTTCAGGAGAACGTACACCCCGCTGTTGGATGGAACGAACACTGGCTGAATAGAACAAAATTCAACTAAGTTCAAACATCTGTAAAAGTGACAAAATTAAGAAATTGCATAAAAAATTATGAAATGCACACCTTTAGAGTCCCTACAAAAGACATGTAGAAGTTCATTCAATTCTGTTGAGCAGTTTTTGTGGAGAAGTGGATAGACTTCATCCCCTATTACACTATCATCATAGAGAAATTCAGCAAAATGTACCTAAGTTCAAATGTCTCTAAACTTACAAAAAAACCCAATAAAATAAAAAAACAAAATATGAGATGCACACCATTAGAGTCCCAAGAAAACCCATGTATAAGTTTATTGAATTCCACAGAGCGGTTATGGTGGAGAAGTGGATAGAATACATTCCCTGTTTCGTACGGACGGACGGACGGACAGACACCGAGGGTAACCCTATATCCCCCTGCCATATTTATGGCGGGGGCATAAAAATAGTCCTCATCCTTCATCTACCCAACTTCTAGAATGCCAATCAAAGAAGTATTCTTATAAGATGCAGGCAGGTGACATTTCCCATTAATTACGAGGAAACAACTCTGTATAATCTTGCAAAACACAGACATCATGTTATCCCAATCAATGTTATCAGATCAATGCTCATACTGTTGATCACTGGATTGTCTGGTCCAGAATCGATTATTTACAGACCGCTGCCATATAGCTGGAATATTACTGAGTGCGGTGTAAAACTAAACTCACTCACTCACTCTTGCAACACCTTATGTTATGATTTGACACTAATCAATGGCTAAGCCATGGGTTTCAGACTGATTGATTGAGTTTAGTTTTACGCCGCACTCAGCAATATTCCAGCTATATGGCGGCGGTCTGTAAATAATCAAGTCTGGACCAGACAATCCAGTGATGAACAGCATGAGCATCGACCTGCGCAATTGGGAACCAATGACATGTGTCAACCAAGTCAGCGATCCTGACCTCTCAGTCCCTACGACAAGCATGGGTTACTGAAGATCAATTCTAACCCGGATCTTCACGGGTAATGGGTTTCAGAGTGACACTACTTCACCACAGTCTGCTACACTCTGGACTCATCAGAAACCACCGCTTAGGTCAAGTGCATACAGTGTCTGCCTAAAAAGCTGAAGGTCAGGGGTTCGAATCCCTGTAGGCGCCACAACAGGATTAGGTGGTCAGTTGTGTTGGGAATTGGTTAACATCTCACAATTGATAATTGGTTCCTGTCAATCAATCATCGAAAACAATTGGTTAGCGTCATTTATCAATTTCTCCTGGTTACGTTTGTTAATGCACAAAAATATAGAAAAAAAATGTGTAGTTCTTTTGTTCGTTTTTGCAAATTGCACAAAATGAATTTACAAATTTCACATCTTAAAGGATGACTAGTATGGTATGAACCTAAATCTCATGGATAATTCAATCATGACAAGGAACGAGCTTGTAGTGCTTGTGAAATGTAACAGACAAAACCAACCTTGTGGAAATTGTTGTTAATGCAAACCAGTGTTCCAAAATTGTTTGTGTTTGATTATGAGAAAACATGATCGATTGCTTGGTCGTTTAGTCATTGTGACCAATCTTCGATTATTTCAACTAACTGGACCACCACCAGTGGTCAGGTTGATGGACGTCCTTGTTCTTGCCTAGATCAATCCTCATGATATCAGTCACTGGAATAAATGGTGCTCAGAAACACCCAAAGAACTGAGGCAATCTAGACTTGAGGAGGGCTCATACAGTATTTTGTTTATTTTCTTGGGTCTGGGAAACAGACTACCAGACGACCATTGGTCATAACATCAATCACTGGATTGTCTGGTCCAGACTAGATTATTTACTGGGAGCTGTGATAAAACTGACTTTTGGTGTACAAGTACTACCGCTACTCAACCATATTAATTCTCGATGCTCATGCTGTTGATCACTGGATTGTCTGGTCCAGACTAGATTATTTACTGGGAGCTGTGACAAAGCTGACTTTTGTTGTACAAGTACTACCGCTACTCAACCATATTAATTCTCGATGCTCATGCTGTTGATCACTGGATTGTCTGGTCCAGACTAGATTATTTACTGGGAGCTGTGACAAAGCTGACTTTTGTTGTACAAGTACTACCGCTACTCAACCATATGAATTCCCGATGCTCATGCTGTTGATCACTGGATTGTCTGGTCCAGAGTATATTATTTACTGACCGCTGCCATATAGCTGGAATATTGCGGGACTGTTAATAAGGGACTGTTAATAATTTATGGCTAGGGGGGTGATGATAATTTTAAGGGGGGGTCACCCATTTTGTTCTGGGGAGCTGGTGGGGGCATCAATGTTGTACACACGTACTGGGGGTGGGGGTGTAAGCAATTTTTCACTAAAAGTATTTTTAAAATTATGCCTAGAAATTATGGGAAGGGGAGGAGGGTTCATTGATTTTGAACATGATTTTGAACATGACATGCAGGGGGGTCTTATTTTGTACATAAATTGGGGGGGGGGATTCACGTTGTACATGCTTCTCCATAAAAATCATCATCCCCCATTTCAATAAATTATGTACGGTGCCTAAACTGACTCACACTTAAACTGACTCACAATGTTCCCATCAACATAGAAAAGTTTCAAACCAGAGGATGAACACTTGTTTCAATACATTCCCTGTTTTAAACTTTCACACTGTTTTTGACAACTGTATGAGAATGCTCTACATACTTAATTTCACAAACAGGTATCCCCAGTTGTTGAACGTTTAGTCTATTCAGGGCACATGCAGTTACCTCCCCTTTTGAATTACAAAACACTGTTGGAACCCCCCAAACACACGTTGCAGACATTAACTGTGTCTCTTTTGTTATTCAGACAAAAATTACAACAAATTAGGACTTTTGTTCGTTTTTAATTATTTCATACTGAGAACTAGTTTGTTGATCTAACCAGAGACCATATAATAGATCTATTATATGGTCTCTGATCTTACCCGGATCTTCGTAGGTCTCATGAAAGGACTGAACATAATACCGTCACTATAGTAGAAATGATGAAGCAAAATTCCCTATCTGTACTTAAAAAAAGACTTACTTCAATGTTATTTTGACTTAAATGCATATTTACAAAAGCAAATTTAAATAATCTGACGATAGTGTTAAGAAATCATAGCTTTACTTAAAGCTCTTGACTTAGATTTGTGAGTGAGTGAGTTAAGTTTTACGTCGCTTTTAACAATATTCCAGCTTTGTCATGGCGGGTGACATCAGAAATGGGCTCCACACATTGTACCCATGTGTGGAATTGAACCCAGGTCTTCGGCATGTCAGGCGAACATTTTAACAATTAGGCTACCCCACCACCCTTGACTTAGATTGGACATTTTGAATGTTTATGACCTGGTGAGTTATCCAGAATCATTCAGTGTTTATAATGCACTATAAATATGTTGTACATATCTCAATGAAATATCTAATTGTCTTTGACATATGTCAATACCCCATATGCCACCAGCCCTACCCACCTAAACAAGACAATGTAATGGAGGAAAAGAAAAAAGGGTTGGGGATGGGGGGTGGAATAAAATGTTAAATAATATTTTGATATTTGGGGAACAAGTCACAATCAAATGTATGCTTTTCAAAACATTTCTTACTAGGGGTGGGTATTGCAGAAAATTTTCATATTGCGATATATTGCGATGCAAAAGCATGTATAGCGATATGTATTGCAATATATTGCGTGAAGTATTTTTAAACAAAAAACTACTTATAATCGAGGTAATGCTTGATTTATAGAGCAAATACACAACAAAATCACTAGGCTTGATTAAGCTTTAATAACAACTTTTAATCATGATAAAATAAAAATATGAATAATATTTGGCACAAATGAAACAAGGACATATCCGAAGATTTCCGAGTGTTACGAAGTTTTCCGAATGCAAGTCAAAATACCGGTTTTTGATCAGCGTATCGCAATACATATTGTTCTCATGTCTGAACCGGTAAAAACGGTTATATTGCGCAGCCCTATTTCTTACCATGTAAAACAAATGACAGCAAGGATGGAAGGCAAATTCCTTTACAACTGACACAGTTCATATTTCTTACTCCAAATAATTTAATTTATTTATCGAAATATGTATGTACTAAATAAATTGAAAATTTAATCAACCTGTTTAGACATGTCTATTACAAGTACTACGAAAAATGTTGCTGCAATTGTTCACATTTTTCCCGTTATAAGGCATTGTTAAAACAAATATCACATGACCAGGATGTGATTGGAAACAAAGGGTTACACAGAGCGTAAAAGTCCTAACACTACTTATTTCAATGTTGATATTTCAAAGCGTATCATTTGATCTGTGTTCATCTAAATTTGTCGTTCCGGATGCATATACGGAACCAAGGTGTGTGGGTCAACTTGTCACCTCGTGTCAACAATGCCTCTTTATAGCGCTGACTCACTGAACAGGCATGACGCAATATCGGGGAGGATCGAAACATTTTCAGATACCTTAATGCGTGTGAAAACGTATCTGAGAAATTCAAACATGAATATTTTGTTCTTAACTGTGTTCGGTCCTAGCTGACAATTGTATATATTCCCAAAGCAAATGACCTAGATTCAGACAATTTCAGTAACGAGTTTGCAAATACCTGTTACCTTGAACAGGTGAAGGGAAATCGGAGACACTTACATTGCGCGAGACACAAAGCTGGAACACTTGCTAGAACAACCAGTAGTGTGGTCCAGTTTCTAACCCCTTCCATGTTGTAGTTCCTTGTGAAATACGGAAATACAGCGTCTCAGGACTGTTTGATACCTTCGTCTCGTGAGGTAACCGTATCGCCAGAACAGTGATACTCCTTACAGGGTTCATGGGACTCGCTCTCATAATGATTCACTGCTGTAGTATTTATGGTATCAATAAAAACTTTCCTGTGTGCATAGGTCCCACGCAGGATGACGCGGAGTTTATAATTAGCAATTTGAATCCCGGAAATATCGCCAGGTGGATAGGTGATCGGGGTATACGCCTTTGGTGTCGCCAGGTAGATAGGCGTTAGGTGATCTGGGTATACGCCTTTGGTGTCGCCAGGTAGATAGGCGTTAGGTGACCTTGGTGTACGCCTTTGGTGTCGCCAGGTAGATAGGTGATCTGGGTATACGCCTTTGGTGTCGCCAGGTAGATAGGCGTTAGGTGATCTTGGTGTACGCCTTTGGTGTCGCCAGGTAGATAGGCGTTAGGTGATCTGGGTATACGCCTTTGGTGTCGCCAGGTAGATAGGCGTTAGGTGATCTTGGTGTACGCCTTTGGTGTCGCCAGGTAGATAGGCGTTAGGTGATCTGGGTATACGCCTTTGGTGTCGCCAGGTAGATAGGCGTTAGGTGATCTTGGTATACGCCTTTGGTGTCGCCAGGTAGATAGGCGTTAGGTGATCTGGGTATACGCCTTTGGTGTCGCCAGGTAGATAGCGTTAGGTGATCTTGGTATACGCCCTTTGGTGTCACCAGGTAGATAGGCGTTAGGTGATCTTGGTGTACGCCTTTGGTGTCGCCAGGTAGATAGGCGTTAGGTGATCTGGGTATACGCTTTTGGTGTCACCAGGTAGATAGGTGATCTTGGTATACGCCTTTGGTGTCGCCAGGTAGATAGGCGTTAGGTGATCTGGGTATACGCCTTTGGTGTCGCCAGGTAGATAGACGTTAGGTGATCTTGGTATACGCCTTTGGTGTCGCCAGGTAGATAGACGTTAGGTGATCTGGGTATACGCCTTTGATGTCGCCAGGTGGATAGACGTTAGGTGGTTTCTGTGTGTATAGGTAGATAGACGCCTTTGGTGTACGCGTTTGGTGTCGCCAGGTAGATAGGCGTTAGGTGATCTGGGTATACGCCTTTGGTGTCAGCCAGGTAGATAGGCGTTAGGTGGTGTATACATGTTTCTGTGTGTACATATTTGTATATACATGTTTCTGTGTGTACATGTAGGTGTATACATGTTTGTGTGTGTACAAGTGTTGTGCATATGGGTCTGTGTGTACAGGGTGGTGTATACATGTTTCTGTGCGTACAGGGTGGTGTATACATGTTTCTGTGTGTACATGTTGGTGTATACATGTTTCTGTGTGTACATGTGGTGTATACATGTTTCTGTGTGGACATATAGTTGTATATATGTTTCTGTGTGTACAGGTTGTGTATACATGTTTCTGTGTGGACATGTTGGTGTGTACATGTTTCTGTGTGTACATGTTGGTGTATACATGTTTCTGTGTGTACATGTTGATGAATACATGGGTCTGTGTGTACATGTTGGTGTATACATGTTTCTGTGTGTACAGGTAGTGTATACATGTTTCTGTGTGTACATGTTGGTGTATACATGTTTCTGTGTATACATGTTGGTGTATACATGTTTCTGTGAGAACATGTTGGTGTATACATGTTTGTGTGTGCACGGGGTGGTGTATACGTGTTTCTGTGTTTACATGTTGGTATATACATGTTTCTGTGTGTGAACATGTAGGTGTATACATGTGTCTGTGTATACATGTTGGAGTATACATGTTTCTGTGTAAACATGTTCGTGTATACATGTTTCTGTGTGTACATGTTGGTGTATACATGATTCTGTGTGTCCAAGGTGGTGTATACATGTTTCTGTGTGTACATGTAGGTGTATACATGTCTCTGTGTATACAGGTGGTGTATACATGTTTCTGTGTGTACATGTTGGTGTATACATGTCTCTGTGTGTACATGTTGGTGTATACATGTTTCTGTGTGTACAGGGTGGTGTGTACATGTTTCTTTGTGTAGAGGTGGTGTGTACCTTGGTCTGTGTGTACATGTTGGTTTGTACATGTTTCTGTGTGTACATGTTGGTGCATACATGTTTCTGCGTACAGGGTGGTGTGTACATGTTTCTGAGTGTACATGTTGCTGTATACATGTTTCTGTGTTTACATGTTGGTGTATAGGTGTTTCTGTGTGTCCAGGTGGTGTATACGTGTTTCTGTGTGTACATATTTGTATATACATGTTTCTGTGTGTACATGTAGGTGTATACATGTTTGTGTGTGTACATGTTGGTGTATACATGTTTCTGTGTGTACAGGGTGGTGTGTACATGTTTCTTTGTGTAGAGGTGGTGTGTGCATTGGTCTGTGTGTACATGTTGGCGCATTGGTGTGTGCATGTTTCTGTGTGTACATGTTGGTGCATACATGTTTCTCTGTGTACAGGGTGGTGTATACATGTTTCTGCGTGTACATGTTGCTGTATACATGTTTCTGTGTGTACATGTTAGTGTATACATGTTTGTGTGTGAACATGTTGGTGTACACATGTTTCTGTGTGTAGAGGTTGTGTATAGATGTTTCTGTGTGTACGTGTTGATGTGTACATGTTTCTGTGTGTACATGGTGATGTATAAATCTTTTTGTGTGTACATGTTGGTTTATACATGTTTCTGTGTATACAGGGTGGTGTATACATGTTTCTGTGTGTACATTGTTGTGTACACATGTTTCTGTGTGTAGAGGTGGTTTGTACATGGGTATGTGTGCATGTTGGTGTATACATGTTTATGTGTTTAGAAGGTGGTGTGTACATGTTTCTGTGTGTGTATATTGGTCGATGTGTATATGATGGTGTATGCATGTTTCTGTGTATACAGGGGGGTGTATACATATGTCTGTGTGTACAGGGTGGTGTATACATGATTCTGTGTGTACAGGTGTTTTGTACATGGGTCTGTGTGTTCATGTTGGTGTATACATGTGTCTGTGTGTACATGTTGGTGTATCATGTTTCTGTATGAACATGTTGGTGTATACATGTTTCTGTGTGTACAGGTGTTGTGTACATGTTTCTGTTTGTACATGGTGGTGTATACATGTTTCTGTGTATACATGTTGGTATGTACATGTTTCTGTGTGTACAGGTGGTGTATACATGTTTCTGTGTGTACAGGCTGGTGTATACATGGGTCTGTGTGTACATGCTATTGTATATGTGTTTCTGAGTGAATATGTTGGTGTATACATGTTTCTGTGAGTACAGGTGGTGTATACATGGGTCTGTGTGTACAGGGTGGCTTATACATGTTTCTGTGTGTACAGGTGTTTCGTACATGGGTCTGTGTGTACATGTTGATGAATAGATGGGTCTGTGTGCACATGTTGGTGTATACATGTTTCTGTGTGAACATGTTGGTGTGTACATGTTTCTGTGTGTACAGGTGGTGTATACATGTTTCTGTTTTGTACATGTAGGTGTATACATGTTTCTGTGTGTACATGTTGGTGTATACATGGGTCTGTGTGTACATGTTGGTGTGTACATGTTTCTGTGTGTACATGTTGGTGCATACATGTTTCTGCGTACAGGGTGGTGTGTACATGTTTGTGTTTGTACATGTTGCTGTATACATGTTTCTGTGTATACATGTTGGTGTATACATGTTTCTGTGTGTCCAGGTGGTGTATACGTGTTTCTGTGTGTACATATTTGTATATACATGTTTCTGTGTGTACATGTAGGTGTATACATGTTTCTGTGTGTACATGTTGGTGTGTGCATGTTTCTGTGTGTACATGTTGGTGCATACATGTTTCTCTGTGTACAGGGTGGTGTATACATGTTTCTGCGTGTACATGTTGGTGTATACATGTCTCTGTGTGTACATGTTGGTGTATACATGTTTCTGTGTGTACAGGGTGGTGTGTACATGTTTCTTTGTGTAGAGGTGGTGTGTACCTTGGTCTGTGTGTACATGTTGGTTTGTACATGTTTCTGTGTGTACATGTTGGTGCATACATGTTTCTGCGTACAGGGTGGTGTGTACATGTTTCTGAGTGTACATGTTGCTGTATACATGTTTCTGTGTTTACATGTTGGTGTATAGGTGTTTCTGTGTGTCCAGGTGGTGTATACGTGTTTCTGTGTGTACATATTTGTATATACATGTTTCTGTGTGTACATGTAGGTGTATACATGTTTGTGTGTGTACATGTTGGTGTATACATGTTTCTGTGTGTACAGGGTGGTGTGTACATGTTTCTTTGTGTAGAGGTGGTGTGTGCATTGGTCTGTGTGTACATATTGGTGTGTGCATGTTTCTGTGTGTACATGTTGGTGCATACATGTTTCTCTGTGTACAGGGTGGTGTATACATGTTTCTGCGTGTACATGTTGCTGTATACATGTTTCTGTGTGTACATGTTAGTGTATACATGTTTGTGTGTGAACATGTTGGTGTACACATGTTTCTGTGTGTAGAGGTTGTGTATAGATGTTTCTGTGTGTACGTGTTGATGTGTACATGTTTCTGTGTGTACATGGTGATGTATAAATCTTTCTGTGTGTACATGTTGGTTTATACATGTTTCTGTGTATACAGGGTGGTGTATACATGTTTCTGTGTGTACATTGTTGTGTACACATGTTTCTGTGTGTAGAGGTGGTTTGTACATGGGTATGTGTGCATGTTGGTGTATACATGTTTATGTGAACATGTTGGTGTATACATGTTTTTGTGTTTAGAAGGTGGTGTGTACATGTTTCTGTGTGTGTATATTGGTCGATGTGTATATGATGGTGTATGCATGTTTCTGTGTATACAGGGGGGTGTATACATATGTCTGTGTGTACAGGGTGGTGTATACATGATTCTGTGTGTACAGGTGTTTTGTACATGGGTCTGTGTGTTCATGTTGGTGTATACATGTGTCTGTGTGTACATGTTGGTGTATCATGTTTCTGTATGAACATGTTGGTGTATACATGTTTCTGTGTGTACAGGTGTTGTGTACATGTTTCTGTTTGTACATGGTGGTGTATACATGTTTCTGTGTATACATGTTGGTATGTACATGTTTCTGTG